CGCCCAGAACTCTGAGACCTCAGAGGCAGAACGCACCAGCCTTCTAGACCAGGCGACATGGCACAGCTAAGTGTGACATCCTCCAGTGTCACCTGGCTCTCTTCTACAGCTGGATGCCTACTTGGAGGCATGTGTTTTCGCCAGTAAACATTTTACGTTCGGTATTCTGGCTTGAAGGCAGCGGGTATCTGATCCCCTATCCAGGTTGTGATACACGGTTACAAGATACCACTGTCAGTAGTACTGCCAGTAGTACTGCCAGGGGACCCCCGCAAGGCGGAAGCAATCCAACGGGAGGTAGACAGTTTGCTTGCAAAGGGCGCCAGACAGTCCATAGGATACTGTCCATAAGTCTGGGCTTCTATTCAAATGTGCTTGTAATCCCAAAGGCCACAGGTGGCTGGCGTCCAGTTCTGGACTTAAGCAGACTAAATCAGTACATGCTCAGTCAACACAACAGTTGGTGTTCCTGGGCATGGAGTTCGACACAGAGGCGGGCTTGGTACGGCCATCGCAGGCCTGTTGCTTAGCACTAAGAGACCTAGCCGAATGCCTAGTCAGCAAACCTCGGTTTGCAAGGTAGTTCCCCAAGCTGCGTTACACAGCCACCCGGTACAGTTCACTTAGTTGCAGTACCAGGCTCACCTACAGTAACTGGGGGGGGGGGCAGATCCCAATCGCTGTCAGTCCTGGCGGAAAAATTCTCCTTTGGTGCCTGGAATACAATGTGGAGCTAACTGCACACCATCTTCCAGGGGTCAGTAAAGTGGACGTCCTCTCACGTTGTCTCCCTAATGGGTAGCCTCCAACTATTTCGAATGTGGGACGGCCCAAAGATAGACCTTTTTGCCACACCCCAAATGCCAAGTTCCCGGCGTTTGTGACACTCCTGCAGACTTCAGGAGCTTGGGCCAGGGGCGCTTTGTCAATCCCATGGGCCCACATGGAGAAACCTCGACAGGAGTGCACCTGCATTTTGACGCTGGTGGCGCCCAACGGGCCAAGCAAGGTTTCCACTACTGTTTGAAATGTTAGTCGCAACAGCAGTGTTGCTTCCAGACATACTGGATCTGCTATTCTAACGAGACGGGGCACTACCAACGAGCCCAGCGGTGTACCACTTGCACGCATCAAGGCTCTCAGTTGACTCGCTCAGGTTTATCTGAGCCGGCTGCCAACATCCTGACCAGGGCGAACAGAGATTCCACCAATCAGCCTATGTCTCAAAATGGTGGGCGTACGTTGACTGGTGTAGTGCAAATGTGGTTGATCCATGCCATCCCTCTGTTGGCCAGGTAGCTGATTTGTTCGTCCAGTTGTCTGACAAGTTGGGCTTGTTCTATGCAGGGATCATTGCTATAGGCCAGCCTTATCACCCACCATCGAGAATTCTTTGGGGCCAAGACTAGCTGATTGTTCTATTATTAGGAGACTGTTGACTCCCAACAAGGGAACCGTCCGATTGGGACTTATCGGTTGTATTGTCCACTTTAAGCAGACCACCCTTGGAGCCTCTGGGATCAACACCACTGTATAAATATAAATGTATACTACGAGTACTGCAAACTCGGAATAAATACTCTGTTGGGCAAGTTCAGAGGTTACCAGTGTTACGGTTTTGGGCGAGGTCACACAGTATGAAACGAACTAGGGTTCATAGGATTAGACCTAACAGTTTGTTGGCGAATGACTGTGGTGTTGCTCAGTCCATGTAAATTACGTAAGTAATAAAGCGTAGAGTAGTTTATTACGTCATTACAGTACATCCACTGATATACAGAATAATTTACCATAAAGAAATACTAGTATGTAACACAACAACGCCATAAAGACAGGCGCTAAAATACTTGCGCGTCCTATTTATAGGCTCGGTAGGGTACTGAACCCTAGAGTTAACATAATACAGTAGTGTTTTCTATCACGTTCGCATTCGTGTCGCCAACATTTATGGACGTGGTTTAAAGCGCGGTGGTCGTCGCGCAGCGCGTCATTTATACCAGGAACTGCATGTGTTGTGCTATCGATATTGCCTTGTCACTGTGAATATTCATCCGCGCGTTTTCAAAACAATCCTCGGGGGGGGGGGGGGCGGAGCTACGTCACAGTTCTACGTTGTTAAGACGCGCACCACTGTACCACGTATTTCTATGGGCTTTGTGCGCGCTGCTGTGGAACGCCGGTGGAGCCGGTGAAAACTCGAGAAAACAACACAAACTCAACTTTAAAGTAATCCTGAACAACCAAATTTATATGTGTTACACACGTAGGGCTAATTTTGTTGCACTGTTCAGGGGAGTCTCAACAATCATCCCAAAGTACCGTTTTATGCGAGTTTTGGGCCTTTGTTTTCACCGCCGCGGGTTGCCAGGCGGTAGAAATTGCCCGGATGTGTCCGCCCTCGAGGATAAGCAATTATATAGTCAATGACAAAACACAAGTACATGTACACTTATGTACGCACACGCACTGTTCAATAATACTATGACACTATTCGTTGCGTTATTTTGGTCTATTCTAACATTAAACTTATGATTATATTCAAGAACTATTTAAATACCTCGCGTATGAATACAGCCAATCAGAGTGTGTGAATATACTATTGGGATGACTACGAGGTCATAACCTCAGAGTTCCAGGAAGTAACACGGCAATTCGTTATAACGCCATATACTGAGCTGAAACCTTGCTTGTTGTCAACTCATTTCATTTTTACATATATCAGATATTCTTTACAAATCATGGCATATCCGTCACCTGCCGGTTGGAACCCAGCGATGGGCGGTGGTGGCTGTGGCGCTTACCCTACACCGGGGGCGGCCTATCCGCAGATGTGCTACCCTCAACAAGGAGCGACCAAGCCGATATTAAACCCCGTGAGTATAACTCAATTTATATTATTATGGAGGTGCATATATTGTTAGTCATTATATGAGATATAACATTCAGAAACCAATCTAATTTACAATCAGATATATACCGTTAGTACTCATATTCAACATTCAAATTCCGGGAAGAGGTGACAAGTCAGTTCCTCACAGACTGAGTTTAGTCACACACCTGGTTCCACGAATCTATGCGTATCGCGTAAAGCTATACTGTATACAAGGCCAGGAAAAAAAATCTCTGTTTCTCGTTTCATGTAAATTTCAAAATGAGGAAGCGAGGTGATTTTTTTTTTTTTTTTGAATACTGAGCTAAAATGGAGGAAATTTGAGACAAGTGCGAGTACAAGCGCATTTTGGAGTGCTTTAGAAGGGAAAACACGTCCGAGGCACATAGTTTGAAATGATGTGCACGGAAACGAGAAACAAAGATATTTTTTTTTTCTCAGCCTAAGATAAGATAATTCTTTTTTACTACCGTTTCTAGTTTGGTTAAATAAAGTTTGGTGTAATAAAGGTATAAATTTTAATTATAAATGTTTGTTAAACTAGAAGTTTAATATTGATAAAGTCATCAAAGTAATTTTTTCTAATTGTTATTGCTTTTTAATATAGTCAGTTTAATTAGAATATTAAAATATGAATAAACTTCTGAATTTTATTAAGGTGTTTGGACTTGATTTTGAGGAAAAATGAATACAATGTCTTTCTTGGTTCAGTGATAAGTTTGCATGAAGTGATAAAATGCAAACTGCAATGCAAATTGAAATAATACGATGCTGTTTTTATTATTTGAGAACATATATAAAAAAAACTCTGCCGTGAAGTTACATCTCGATCAATTAAGGCAAATGATGTCAGAAAGTGTCAGTGACGTATTTTGCTTTTATTGAAAACTTAAAACAGTCTTTTGGACATCTGTGGAGAATGAGAGGTGTAATTGAAGAGCGGCGGTCGTTACACCGCGTCCTGTTCGATATGGGACTCATAGCGACACATACAATGCGTGTAAAATACATTGTTTATTTACATGAAATTTGCACACTGCTTGATGTCCACTGCCCTTTAATATTGATTTTACGTGGTTTTTTTACTCAGAGCATTCCTTTTCTGGGTCAAATCCCCGGATGTACGAGACCTGGGAAAATGGTAGTCATACAGGGAAGTGTTCCCCGAAATGCCGACAGGTACATTTTTACTATTATTGCGTTTACGTGTATCAGTCATATCTTGTCCTCGTCTGTCTATATTGGCATCTCATTGCATATTTATAATTATTATGTATCACCATGACACCCATACCAATAACAGTAGATAACACAACCAATAATAATTACTACGTAACAATGCAATGATCAATCTATCAATCTAGATTTGAAACAAAATGAAAGTGTTACTAAGTACACTACATAGCTACATTACCTAGAAATCGTTGACCGCAAACAAATTTAATTGTTACCAGTTGTATATACAGTATGTAGAAATTGTATGTTTGTTTCAGTATGTACGTTTATTGGTTTTTGTGTTATGTTTTCTCAGGTTTGGTATAAACTTTCAGATTGGTGCCAGTACTAAACCACGTGCAGACATTGCATTCCACCTTGCAATCCGAGTAAAGCTTGGGCATATTGTTAGGAATACGTTGACAAACGAGAAATGGGGTGTTGAGGAACGTGGCGTGCCTTACCAGCCATTCGTACCTGGTCAAAACTTTGAGATTATGATCCTGGCTGACAAAGAAGAATTTAAGGTATATTATCTCATCTTAAATGCCAATGGAACTCAGTATTCAACAATTAAATATTAGCAGTAATTCAAGCTTCTTTAAATCTAATTAAGAAAGACCATTTAGTTGTGAGAAAGCAACTTCTTAAAATGTCTGAAAATTTATGCCCCAAAAATCTGCTTTCGCATATGTATAAAAGTATGAATGAATTTCAAAAACAGATGTTATAAGAATTAAAATATTTATCATCAAATGTTGAAATAATCCCCAATGTTTATAATTGTACGGTCTGTTCATGCTCACTGTACTGTTGTTTGAAGTGGATAACAATGACCCATTTGCGACATTTGTGTTGATAAACTTTGATTTTCCCACAATCCAATGCGGTCATAGTCTAATGTAAATCACAAGTATGAGGTTTGACCTCAGTGTGACTTGCAATAATTACTGCCGGTGATTCCTAAAAAAATATCTAATCAAAGCTTGGTAACGTCTCAGTTTTTACTCAGTTTGTTTGTAGTCAAAGTCACCATCTTTGCCTTACTCAGACATGTATGCAAATTTATATTTAAACTCTCAATAATTTTACGTCAACCTCACTTGAACCCCAAGCAGCCGACCAATCAAAATGCATACATACGTGTGGTGGAAGAAAACTTATTGGACGTGAAGAAAATGTCATATTCTCTATTCATTTAAGCACCATGCATTCGATACTTGTCATTCATTCGTTTAGCGATAGGATAGTTGCCACAGATAGTTTCAGATATTATAGTTGTGTCTAATTAAAAAATCTGGTCAGTGTCGCGATACATCTTCAAATTCGTCAACCAACGCTTAATTATCAGCTAATAAACCCAAAATGACGCAGTTAAATAAGTGCTGTGATTCGTAATCCAATCCAAAGGGTATAGACTGTAGAAATCGATCAACTCAAAATCCTGACTGATGTTATCAAATGAAACAAAATAAGAAATTGGCTACAATATTAACTTGTTGATGTCAGAGATGCCAATCACTGCGATTTTGACAGCTGATCAATGCAGCTCGACCAAGTCGCTTCGCTCTGCCCAAACTTATTAATGAAGACCAGTCTTGTTCAACTGTAATATTAGCCCAAGGGCGATGGGCAATTGTGTATATACAGTGATATATTTCATTTCTTCGCCGATTTGACACGTGTGGGATAAATAGAGAAAGCAGTATGTTATCAATATATAACAGCGCCACCACCAACGAAGAACTTTTGAGGTGCTTCCACTTTCTGATTGCATCACGTGCCGGCATGTGTTTCGCTTAAAAGAGAAATTCCACTTAAGGTCTATATATAGTATATGTATGTATTCTAAAACTGAAAAAAGTGAAAACATGTTACCACAACAATGCGTCTAGTACTGCTTTTAAATTTCTGACTGCAATGTTTCTAAAAACTTATTTTAGCCAAGAAGGAAAATTTAATGTATATTATTTCTGGTATTGTACTAATCCAAGCAATTTTGTCTACCTTGATATTCCTAGTTCCTGAATCTAGAGGTCGCTATAGAGATCGGGTACCTGGCATATACATAGTGTGTATTGTAACCATTTCGCATTTTATTGGAGGTTTTATCTATGGGGTATCTGCTTTGTTATTTAGGTTTACACGGATAGTAAACTTGTGTTAAATTTTCAACTACTCACAGTTTCGCAGTATTTATTAAATCGGACAAGTAAAATATGCCTGTTCGGTGGCTGGTTTTTAAAGGCAATTAGTGAATTAATGTTTGTGGCACATGTAACTGACACCTAGTGTTGATTTCATGAAATTAGTGTCTTCCCTTCTCGTACCTACGGTGCTTGCAGATTTTACGTCACTCCGGTTATACTGACTTAGAAACATTACAAGACCCTGTGGTTGCACCCCATGTGTGGCTGTGACGTGGAAAATATTTGGGTCATTCATAAAAATTGCTGATAGACAGAACCCTGTTTAGAAAAGTTACAATGAATCGATTTGAATGTAATACATATTGAACTGTACGTCCTTTCAGGTTGCTGTCAACGGTCAGCATTACATTACGTATAAACACCGTGTCAGACCTCTGAAGAAGATCGACTATCTTGCTATCATTGGTGACGTCACAATCACATCTGTGAAATTCCAGGATGAACAGGTACATTACCGAACACAGTAACATAATGGCTAAAAAAACTTATAATAAAAACACGAATTTAGCTTTAGCAGTTTTTGAGAATTTCCATGAGTTCTATCAGTTACCTAATATTGTGTATAAACTCTGAATGTCTGTTTCATTTAATTGGGATTATAAACTAACGTTTGCGTGATGTGTTATTTAGGTTGCAGCAGGTGGGACCCAAGTAGCTGCTGCCCCGGTAGGACCCATTGTAAATCCTGTGAGTATATTTATCTTTACTGAAAAAAGTTATATATTTGTGTTGTCATTCAATGAGTAACTTGGCATTTTGGCTTATCTTAGTTATTAAAATAAACTGAGTTTACTGTTAAAAATGTGTGTTGTTGTTGCTTGAATAGCCAATGCGTAGTTTTATTGAATGCATCCGGGCACGTCTCCCTGTCTTAATGTGTATCCCTGTCTGAGTATGTCTCATTGTCAAAGTAAGTCTCATTGTCCGAGTATGTCTCCCTGTCCGAGTACGTCTCTATGTTCGAGTATGTCTCCCTGTCCAAGTACGTCGACTTGTCTCAGCATGCGTCCCTGTTCGAGTATGTCTCCCTGTCAGAGTATGTCTCTATGTTCGAGTACGTCTTCATATCTGTAACATGATTTGCATTTAGGAAGTGACATAATACCAATTAGTGTTCTAAAATAATATTTTGAAAATTTTATTTCAGTCAACTCCATATATTGGACCAATACCGAACGGAATATTTCCTGGTAAAATGGTTATAATAAACGGGACAGCGCCTCCCAATCCCACCAGGTATTGGATACTTATCTGAATAATCTGTTAAATTTTATTGTGTTCCTTTGTGTCAGTAACAAGGGCATGTGATATCTAGAGTGTATAAATGCAGTATACTTGTTCTCCGTGTTGATTCAAATATTTGCTGAAATAACTGTTGTATATAAATGTTATATATAATGTTTTTACAGGTTCGGTGTAAACCTCCAGATTGGACACAACCAGGACAAGAGTCACGATATCGTATTCCACTTCAATCCACGATTCCCAGCTAATGCAATTATCTGCAATACCAGACATGGCAAGAAATGGGGACCAGAAGAGAAAACTGCTCCTTATTTTCCATTTCAAGCGAATACTAATTTCGAAATTATCATATTGTGCCAGAATGACTGTTACAAAGTAGCTGTCAATGGCAGGCATTTGTTGGAATATCGTCACCGAATTGCTTACCAGCAAGTTAATACTTTACACGTTGGTGGCGATGTTCGTATAAACCAGATACGTTATCAATAGGTTCGTAGTCTCCCAGTAAGTCAGAATGTTGTTGATTTTACGATATCAGCAACTTAGTATGAGTTCAGATTCAATTTATGTACATGGGTTACGAGATAATCGGAAGTTTTTTGTAGCACACACATTAATATTCATTAATGACATAATGACATTGCAAAAGAACAAATGTTTTAAATTAATGTATTTACTATTATTCATAGTACTGGTGGTTGGGCGAGGTGGTGCTGTTAACGAATGCTAGTACATTGGACCAAATCTTTTCTTTTATTTTTATGTAGTATATTTAGTATATTTTACAAGATGGCGGAACAACTTTGTAATTGAGCCAGAAAATGAATGTACAATGAGGATGGCATCAGCAGATGTCAGATTCATGTGTAATTGCCTTGCCCGTAGTGTAGTGTAAACAAAGGGGAAGGTAAAGTAAGGTTTTGGCATTGTTGTTGTTGATAACTTAAATAATTTTTACATGATCGGTTTCAAATTTATATGTTATAAACAAACATGCAAAGATGGTCAAGTTTGATGTTTGTGTATTTTTTTTGCATAATTAATGATAGATGGTGTAAACTGAGAACAGACTTCTCAAGGTAGAGTGAACCAAGTGAGTATTGGTCACCAAATCTGGGGGGAGAATAACCACTGGAGAGAAGCACTTGTAGCCAAGGTGTTTATTGCTCAACTGCTAGGCCTGGAACCGAGCCTTAGATACTCTCGAGATGTTTCATGACAATGTATCAATATCAATATCATAGCCTCAAATCCCCTTATAGAGGATGAAAACTCGATTTTAAAAACGTTGAAATACACTTGAAAATACTTTGAACTCAATAATAACAAGTTAAATATATAACCATAAACACCAGCAAACAATTCTAAAATATGACTGTGCTGCAGTACCTGGATAAACTTAATATCTAGCACATGATATTTAGGTGATAGAAAAGCACCAAGCCGCACACAGCACTATTTTTTTTTTACTTATACTTCACTATACAACTGCTGACAACTAATTTGGGAAGTCAATCCTGGCTGCCATGCTCTTGACAAGCCATCAGCATTGCCATTTTCGAACCCCTTTTTTATGTTAAAAATTTATCTGGTACCCTTGCAGGGTCAGACTCCAACGCATCAGTCCACGATTTTGATTCAACCATTTTAAAGGATGATGGTCACTCTGAACAGTAAATGCTCTACCATACAAATATGGATATAATCCTTCCACTGTCCAAACAATGGCCAAAAATTCCTTCTCAATAGTTGCATAATTCATTTCACCAGGCAACAACTTCCTACTGATGTATATTATGGGATGTTCTTCTCCTTTGTCATTATTTTGACTTCACACCCCACCAATACCATGATCACAAACGTCAACCTGCAAGACAAAGGGTTTGGTATAATCTGGATTATGCAGTACAGGTTCAGATGTCAATGCTTGTTTCAGTTTACAAAATTATGTCTCGGTCTTCAGTTCATATTACTTGATTTGAACACTTCTTCTTTGTTAACTCTGTCAAATAAAAAGCAATTTCAGAGAAGTTAGGAATATAACCAACAAAGGACACTTGTGGCCCACTAATATAACACTTGCTAGGCTTGACAGTCAACCTTGCATTCCGCAATTGCTCAAGTACAGCCTGAAAATGTAATAAATGCGCTTTCCAGCTAACATCATGTACCTCTATGTCATCCATATATGCACCAGCATACGTTGTACTCACTTGTACCTTGCAGTATTTGATTTATTAACCTTTGTATGATTGCTGGGCCGTTTTTCATGCCAAAGGGCATCACTGTAATTCAAAGAGACCAAATTGAGTTATGAAAGCAGATTTCTGACAGGAAGATTTACTCAAAGGAATTTGCCAATATCCCTTCAACAAATGAAAAGTAGAAATATAACAGGCAACATCAAACGTTTCCATAGATCTCTTAACAGTGTCACCAAATTTGTTCATTTCATCTTCAATTCTCTAATTATGGTGAATATTTTGGTCACTTTTGGTAAAAAGTGATTTTTTCAACTTCTTGTTAAAAACCGCAAGTCCAATTGCTTTGATATTACATATATAGGTACTACATGTGGACCTCTCTTATATTTGTTCATTTTGTAATGATATCTTTAATTCTCTAATTGACTCCCATGTGCGAAGCACAAAAGGGAGTCTTTGCAGTTACCCTGTCTGTATGTATGTATGTATGTATGTCACTTTTTTTGTTCCACCGTTATCTCAAGAACCACTAATCAAA